CCTGGCTGGGGGTCCTGATCCAGACTGGCTGCTGTAGAGGGTCCCAATCCTGGCTGGTGGGGAGGGCAGCCCTGATCCAGACTGGATCCTGGCTCAGATCCTGGCTGGGAGGGGTCCTGATCCTGGCCAGTGAAGCAGGCGGGTCCTGATCCTGGAGGTCCCAGTTTTAATCCCCAGTGCACTGCAGGCCTGGAGCAGGCTGAGTACGTGCTGAAGGGCTGCTCGGGCGAGAACGCGGAGAACCGCACAGCCAAGGTGTACGTTGGCGGCGAGCGTGAGGTCCATGACACTTACTTCTGTGCCAGCGACCTCTGCAATGGGCCCTTCACTGGAGGTACTGGCCCCTGGGCCCCGGGGTGGGGAGGCCTGAGGCCTGGGCAACTCATTGCACTCAGGAGGGCAGGGGGGGCAGAACCCCTCCCTCCACCTAACCGGGTCCTGCCCCCACCCTAGTGCCATCAGCGAGCGCCCCACAGCCCAACGGCATGGCTTGTTACAGCTGCTTCGACCGCGGCACCGGGGACTGTGCTCCCGGCAACGCCACCCCCGTGCCCTGCGCTGGCGACATGACGCAGTGCATGGACTTCACCGGTAACAGCCCCGTCCCCAGCCAGGGGCATCCCACAGCCCTGTTACATCCAGCCCCAACGCTCCCCCAGGGCCAGCTGCATCCCAGGCCTGTGCTACCCACCCTGCTGCCCACCCAAGAGCCAGCCGCATCCCCAGGTGTGATACCCATCCCAGCTCCCCTGCCCAGAGCCAGCCACATCTCAGGCCTGTGATTCCAGCCCTGAGGTCCACCCCAGAGCCAACCACATCCCAGGTCCTGTGATACCAACCCCGATGCCTGCCCCAAAGCCAGCTGCAGCCCGGGCCTACGGTACCGGCCCTGACACCCACCCCAGAACCAGCTGCATCCCAACCCTGTCTCATAGCCCCGTCCCACAGTGACGGATGGTGCCTGGCACCTGACCTACCGCACCTGCGCGCTGGAGACACTCTGCCGCCAACAGTACCAGCTGCCCCAGCTCCATGGCCGCCTGGACATCAGCTGCTGCTCCACCCCCCTCTGCAACGATGGACGCCCAGGTCTGCGCAGCCTCTGCAGCCACTTCTCCCAGCAAGGTAACCCCCACCCCATGCCCCTCAATCCTGACCTGCAGCCTCCCGCCCCCTGTGCCCCGCACTCCTGACCCACAGGCCCTTCACTCCGGACCTACAGCCACAGTGCACATCTCCCACCTGCAGGCACCAGACGGCAGCCGGAGAACGGGCTGCACTGCGCCAGCTGCTGCGAGACCGGCCATGGTGAGTGCGGCACCGGGAACTGGAGCCAGGTCGCATGTCGCGGGGAACAGGCCATGTGCGTCAACGTGACAGGTGAGGGCCGGGGTCCAGACTGGCCCTTCCCACCCAGGGGTCCGGCCCCACCCTCCAGTGGGAGGGGCCCTGCTTGTCTTAACCTCGCTCACTTGCCGGCCCACCCAGGGACGCCTGTGTTGCAGGTCTCTGTCTGCTGGGGGTGGGGTTTCTTGTGGCTCCTCCCAGGCTTGGGCGGGGTCTCTCACAGGATCCGCCCCCTCTCTGACTCCTCCCCCCAGAGGCCGGGAGGACGCTGGTTCGAGGCTGCTCCCTGGAACGTCTGTGCCACGAGCGGGCGCCGGGGGCACGAGCGGCCGCGGGGGCTGGGGCTGAGCCGTGGTGCCGCCGTCCGGTGTTGCGAGGGGGCCCTGTGCAACGGGGGAGAGGATCCCGGCGCCCGGCCCTCCTCGCTGCTGCTGCTGTTGCCGCCCCTGCTGGGCCTGATCCGCCCGCTGTGAAAGGTCCCGCCGCATTGCAGCAACACAGACATCTCACCCCACCCGGACCCCTCAGCTCCAAGGGGTGGAAATAAACGTTGGGGGAAGCCGCTGGGCTCGGACTGGTTTTTGCGGGCCGGACGCCTGTGTTCCCCGGGTGGGCATCGCAGGGAAGTGAGCGGAGAACCTAGGCATCCAGGCTGCCGTCCCTCCAGTGGCCGCCAGGGGGCAGGGTTGCGACGTGCGGGCCCCGGGGTGCCCCCGCCCCCGGCCAGGACGCTTGGGTTCCCCCCTGTCGCGCCAGGACACCTGGAAGGGACACCTGGGTCCCCGCCCGGGGCGGGCGG